TTGTGAGACACTGGCAGTTCTTCAAGTCTTGAGGGCCACCAGGTAGTCCTCTGTAGAGCATTTCAGGCTATCTGGCCACAGGCAGAAAACAGCAAGGGAGGTCACCCACAGTCAGCCAGATGACAGGGTCCGACAGTCCCCAGTTCAAGAGATGTAAATTCTAATGGTGTGGCGAAGCAGGTCTTGAAGGAACCTCAAATTACAGTGACATGGTCCACGGTTTAGGTGTCCCACAGGTAGTGTAGGCTGCAAATTGAGTCAAATAACAAGCAAGGCAACTACACACTGGTCTGATGATAAAAGAGCAAGAGACAAGAAAGGTGAGGCTTGCCAAGTCATTTATCTCTCCATCCTTCAATTAATCCCACGTGTTTATTGGCCAGGTTGGCACAAAAACTACCTTCACTAACCGTGAAAGCAATGATGCATCTCATGTGGAAAGATTTGTTACCTAAGGGACATTTTTAAGGCCAGATCAAATAACTCTGGAGGTAGCACTATTGAGTGACTAGCCTACAATAAGTGTATGGGGATGTGAGAGTGTCTACACAGGCATGTATGAATAATCACATAGTTTTTTTTTAAAGATAATTTTATTGGGGCCTCTTACAACTCTTGTTACAATCCATACATCAATTATATCAGGCATATTAGTACATATATTGCCACCATTCCTTTCTAGACATTTACTTTCTATTGAGCCCTTGGGAGCAGCTCCTCTTTGTTTCCCCCCCCCACCCTCATGGTCCCTTGAGAGATTATAGATTGTTATTATTTTCATATCTCACTCCTACTGCTGTCTCCCTTCCCCTCTGGTTTCTGTTGTTCTTTCCCCTGCAGGGTGTGTGTGTGTGGTTATGTGCCATTCATTGTGATCAGTACCCCCTTCCTCCCTCCTCCCCCCTTCCCTTTAGGTATCACTATTCCCATTCCTGTACCTGGGTTCTGTGAATCACATAGTTTTCGTTTCCAATATGATCATCACTGTAGAGGAGACACACTCAGGTCTGTGTGATGCCCGTTAATTGCTTCCATTGCTCATGAGGTTGTGGTCTCCAGAGGCAGACACTCCTAATCTGGAAGGTATAAGTAATGGGAAATGAAGAGATTCTTGGCATGTTACATTCTCTGAGTAAAGTCACAAAGGTATGTCTGTGAAGAAAGGAACCACACGGAGTTCTTTACCAAACAAAGAGCTAACATCTCAGACCTTTGGACTGCATTCAGGATATCTGAGTATGTGGAGCTGTAACTTCTTTCCTATGTCTTAGGGTTCATTTTGTTTCATGCATTCATAAGAAAAAGGAACACCAAATTTATGACTATTATACAAATTTTATTAGATAAGGATTAAGAAAATGTCTTTTGTCAAAATTTCATTTTGTCTTTGCAGATCATCTTCAAAAGAATTGTGTTCCTGGAAGATGGGAAAATAGAATTTTTAAATTTATTTTTAGATTTTGGCAGTAATTGAGATAACTAACTCTGTTGTTTATTATTCTCTTTCACAGATATAGTAACATAGCAACTCTCCTCCAATTCTGTGTGACTTATAGGAGAGGAAATATTTGTAAGTAACTGTTACTTTATTTCATGAACTGAATATTTAGATTTAAAAGATTCAGAAGAAAATAGAGGGCTGAGAAATCAACTCTTTGAACTCATGGCCACCCTATCTTAGAATAGAACTGTGATGCGGAAGATTTTAATAGCTGATTTTTGGAAGTAGATCAGAACTTTTTGTAAGGGACTCAGGATGGACTGCACTTCCGGTCATTTTATTAGCAGGCTAACCTTTCAACTAGGGAATCCTCATTAATCTCATTACCCCACATCAAATAATCTTGTGAAATGTTTCTTAGATGTCATTGGCCATCTTTCTCTTCTAGATCATCTCCTGTTTTCCACTGACAAATTAGAGCTGAACTAGTCAGACTGCCTGAATTCTCTGCCACATGGCCCTCTCTTTGTGCCTGGTAACTCCCTGTTGTTTTACAAAAGATTTGTCTTTATTATTCTGGATTCACTCTTGAACATAATTTCTTGTATCCAAATATTTTCTTGCCTCCATAAGTGCTCTTAGTAAACTTGCTGCTGAGAGCCAACTCGCAACACAAGCTTCCCTAATACTTTCCAACTGAATATAATCCAACTGAATGACAACAGAAAAATTAATTCGATTCATCACATCCACTTTGTAAATGGAAGCATCATGATGTAGATGGAAGGATGTTGACATCCACCTTGTAGTCTGTAGTGATCCTCCCATGAAATTTTCAGAAACATACAAAACCTTTTCCTTGCTATGTAAACGGTATTTCAAAGCAAATATCTTAAAATATTTTCCACTCAGATTAAATTGCTAAAAATCTGTGTATGTAAGAAGAGACTGGTGGAACTCCAGAGACTATGATCTGTAGATACTGCGCAGGCTTGGAAGTGAACTCAATCCCACACCCATGGCTCAGATTTCAGCCCAACAATAGACAGATCTAGAAAGCCCATCAATAACATTGGGGAGGTACACACTCCTTAGAAAGATCAACCATACCAGATCAAAAGGGCAGCATTTATCCAGGTAGAAAGCTCAGAAGGAAGGAAGGAAGGTGTGTTAGTCTGGGTAGACTAGGGAAACAAATCCACAGAAATGCATGTGTATATGGGAGAGTTTTATATAAAGGGTAAGTGTACGTTAAGAAAGCATCCCAACTCAGTGCTTTCCAAGCCTGTAAGTCCACCATTATGAACACATATGTCCAACACTGATGTATAATTTCCTCCTCAATCTCACAAAACACACACTATGCCACCTACTTCAGGAGGAAAGCTGAATCAGTGAGCATGTAAGCATCTCAGTGCTGGCAGGGGTCTCCACACAGCTGCTCCAGCACCCAGGGCTGCATCAGGGTAGGTCCATGTGGCTTCTCCTCAGGGATGTGAGCCTTGTAAGCTGAAGCAGGGAACTGACTAAGGCAGCTACACCCTGGTTGGACCATCAGAGAGCAAAAGACTCGAGAGCCAGAAAGGCGAGGCTCACCGAGCCATTTATCGCTCCTCCCTTCAATTAATCCCACATGTGTTTATCGGTCAGGTTGGCACAATAAACCCTAACTATCTCATAAGGGATAGGAAAGAAGGATAAATGGAAATGGGAAACACAGGAGAAAGTGGGAAGAGTGCTGTTATACTGTGGGGATTACAATTAATGTCACAAAACAAATATGCATGGGTTGTTGAATGGAAAGCCCATTTGTTCTGTAAAATTTCATCTGTCATAGTAAAAAGTTGGGGAAAAAGCCTATCTATATGGAAATCCTATCTTGTAAGGATTTAAAGTATCTTTGAACAAAAGGTATTTGATACAAACTCTGTAAAAGGGTCAGTTACCTGGATTTATTTTTGTCTGCTTGGTAATATTTGCTAGTGAATGTTTATTGCATAAATGAGGAAGGAAGAGAGAGAGAGTGAAAGCATGCCAACTCTTCTAAAAGAAACAACAACTTCACAAGCTCAAATACATTTTTCTTTAATGATAATAAGAAAAACTGTCAAGATCTGTGGTTCTTACGATCCTTTTCGCCCTCTTAGGTCAGAACAATGACGATCCTGAAGGATAGGATGATCTCTGGGTCTGTGAGTGAATTCATCCTCCTGGGCTTCCCTTACCGCAGAGAGATCCAAATCTTCCTTTTCTTGGTCTTTTCTCTCATCTACCTCCTGACCCTCGTGGGGAACATGTCTATCATCTGTGCGGTGTGGTCAAGCAGGAAACTGCACACGCCCATGTACATCCTCCTGGCCGACTTTGCCTTCCTGGGGATTTGCTATGTCAATTCGGATGTCCCCAAATTGTTGGCCAACGCCATCTCTCACACCCAAACTATCTCCTATTCTGGCTGCCTACTCCAGTTCTATTTCTTCTTCTCCATGTGTGCGGCTCAGGGCTTGTTTCTGTCAGTGATGTCTTTTGATAGATTTCTTGCTATTTGTAGACCTCTTCACTATCCCACCATAATGACCGATCACCTGTGTATCCAGCTAGTGGTTTTCTGCTGGGCAGGTGGTTTTCTCTGGTTACTGACCCCTCTGACCTTAATATCGCAGGTGCCTTTTTGTGGACCAAATACTATTGACCATTTTTTCTGTGATCTGGCACCTCTGCTGGCACTGTCCTGTGCTCCAGTATCTGGAACTACTCTTACCTGTGGCATTATTAGCTCTCTCATTATCTTCCTCACCTTCCTGTATATTCTTGGCACTTACTTCTGTGTCCTGAGAGTGGTGCTGCAGATGCCATCTGGCTCAGGGAGGCATAAGGCTTTCTCTACATGTGCCTCTCACCTTGCTGTGGTGTCCTTGTTCTATGGCTCAGTCATGGTGATGTATGTTAGTCCAGGTTCTGGGGAACATTCTGGAATGCAGAAATTTGTGACTTTATTCTATGCTTTGGCAACTCCATTCTTTAACCCCCTGATCTATAACTTCCGGAACAAAGATATGAAGGAGGCCTTAAAGAATATTTTGTATTTGTTTCTGTGGAAAATTGCAAAAGGATTTAAAGGTTGAGTTTAATCTAATGCTTCATTCAAGTTTAGGAGGATGAAAGGTCATGAAGCACATGCGATCATGCTGCTTTCATTTGAGTTATTGGGTTTCATTTATTGGGAAAGCACTTTTGAAGAATTCATTACACTCAGGATTAGTTTTAAGAAGCTATTACTCTTGGGGCCCAGATATATCTGGGATTAGATAGAACCCGCTATGTGAAATCCAAGTTAATAAGATTTTCATATGCAAGGAGGCTTATAAAAGTTTGTGGAAAAAAGGGATTAAAATATAATTGATTTTTTGGGAACATTTTGAAGCCCCCTCAAGTTTCTCTATAACTGAACTTCTGGCTGTTTTTTTTTTTCATTATAAACTGATTGGTATATTTTATCATCCTAAAATTATGCCTTCACCAAAGCAAATTGTTCTTTTTCAGAGGATAGCAACTTGTGAATGTGTTGTAAACACACAAATAATTTAACAATAATCCTTAAACTAACGAGATTGGGGAAAAAAGTCTTAACATTGAGAATAATTTTAAAGCACTATTCCTATAATTTCAAAAACAATTGTGGACACAAACAATGCTCCTCAATAAAGTTTTGTTGACTTGATTAACTTCTCACATAAAAAAGTTTTATTAGCATATAAATCATATACTGTATAATTCAATCATTCAGTCACCTTAAAAAGATCTGTGCAATTATCACCACAATGGAGTTCAGAACATTTTCTTCTCATACTCATTGTTAGGGCTCAGTTTCTCCCATGGTCCCCTGCCATGCTCCTAAGCAATTATCAATCCAGTCACGTCTCTATAGAGCTACCTATCTTGGATGTATTATACAGAAAGCCATATAAAACATAAACAGGAAGCAAACCAACCAACCGCCAACCAGCCAACCAACCAACCAACCAACCAACCAACCACCAACCAACCAACCAACCAACCAACCAACCAACCAACCAACCAACCATGACTAGACAAAAGATAGAAAAACTTCAAGAAAAAGAAAATAGAAAGTATTAAAAAGTGAAACAACTTTAAAATTGGTCAAAAAACTCAAAACACTCACTACTATCAAGTCAATGCGGACGCACAGCAACCCTGTAGGAAAGGGCGAACTGTTCCTATGAGTTTCTGCGACAACTCTATGGGAGTAGAAAGTTACATCTTTCTTCCAAAATGGGTGAAAAGGGAGATCAAACGATAAAGTTTTGACATTTTAACCAAACCAAATCTTCCATAATTGACTTTACAAACACCCAAAGTCTCCTCTCCATTCCCTCACCCCAGGGGTCCTGTGTGTTTTTATATGTTTTAATTACGTTTCTCTTGTTCCGGTGGCTATAAACACTCTTCCCAAGCTTTCTCTTATGCTTAACTGATACGATTTGGTGTAAATGGCCAATTGGTAGACTACTAATTGAAGTGTTGTTGCCATGCCGAGTTCATTGAATGGTGCCTCTATCTGCTTCTGGAAACCCTATGGAGTCATGAAAATTTTGGGACATAGTGATATGTACCACATGTGACCTTCCTGAGTCAGAATGGCTGCTGAAATAAAAGCCTGGTCGTTTTATATTGTCAGTGAGTAAATGAGGAGGAGGCTATATTCACCTCCTTTGGCTGCAGAAGGGAGAAGGAGAATCCCTCTCTACAACAACCCAAGACCAATTGCCACAAGGCAGAGTTCAGACAGGCCTCAACCCTCCATCCATTTTTTAGCCTATTCTGACACCAACCATTTTCCCCACAATCCTCTACTTTTCTGCTGGGTACTAATTTGTTGTAATGCTCACACAGAACTCACAGACAATATTCATGATCATTTAGTAGGGAAGTTAACAGATCACAAGCCAGGATCAGAAAACATTAAGGACACAGTTATTGGTCCACAGCGACACCTCTCCTCGGCTAGCAGCCACATCTCTTTCCAGGAGTAGAAAGCCCTATTCTTCTCTCAAGAAGTGGCTGGTGGCTTTGCACTTGGGACCGTGTGGTTAGCAGCCCAACAAGCAACTACACCAGCAGAGTTCCTAACAGCACAGAACGATGACAATGAAAGAAGCAGCCCAGAGTGTCTCTAACACAAACCGACAAAGGCAGCTAGACTGGAAGCAGCCCATTCCCTTTGTTCATTATCCACCACTTGTTTCAGAGAGTAACCTGGAGTAAATACTTTCTGGAGTCACATTAACCTAGTTCTTTTACTGCTACACCTACTTCCTGCTTCTTCCCTGTGATGGTTACTTAAAATAAAACCATGTTATTAGGAGCTCTTACAGATATTATTACAATCCACAATTCTACTAAATCAAGCATAATTGTACAGTTGCTGTCATCATCATTTTCAATACAGGTTGTTTCTTCTTGAACTCTTTGATATCAGCTCCCCTTTAACCCCTCCCTCTCCCACCCTACCACCCCCATGGACCCTTAATATATTATATATTATTTTGTTTTGCAATATATTACACCATCCAATGTATCCATTCACCTAAAATTCTGTTGTTCGTTCCCCTTGAGTGGGGTTATACATTGCTATCAGTTTCACCTTCCCCCTCCTATCCCCTTCTCTTCCCATACTCTCAAGGAATTGTTACTCCCATTACTGTTTCTGAGGGGTTTATCTATCTTTGATTTCATGCATTGAAATATTTTGATTGTACAAGTGTACATACGCAGGTCTAGCAAGATTAGTGAGGCAAAACTAAGGCCACAATAGTGGGGGGAGGAAATATTAAAGAACTAGAGGATAGTTATGTGTTTCATCAGTGCTGTACTGCACTCTGACAGTTAATTTATATAGAAAATGGTGATTCTCTTTGGTTGCTGTTTTGTAATGTCATGCCATACCATGCGATGTCATGTTATGTCATGATGAAATAGTGTAATGATGTCACGTAATGTGATGTGATGTAATGTAAACAAATTTCATGATGTGATCTGATATGATCAACCTACAAGTTGAAAGGAGCATTTCTTTGGGGTGCGGTCTGTCTCCAGAATATAACTGGATATTTGGGCAGAACTCACTCTTTCTTATCCATACTGCTTCTCATGGCCTGAACTCTGGTTCTTCAGACATAAGACTGCAGAAGGGTCTGGCTTGGACCCAATTGACAGACTTTGGATTCTCCAGTCCTACGATCCCATGAACCAGCACAAGTCTCTAGCTTGGCATCTGACCTGCAAACTTGAAACTTTCCAGCCCTCACAGTTGTTTGCATGATCTCTTTGGAGTAAATTTCTTTCAATATATCTCTATCACTAGTTTGTTCATGTAAGAAAACTCATTATCCAACTGGAAACTCATTATACGAGTGGAAACATTCGAATTTTCCATTTTAGAAGCACCACTGAGATCTGAAAATTTTGGCCTGACTACTGATTTTAGGCTACTGCACTTGGCAAATCCTTATTCTTACCTCCAAAAACCTGCTGAAGGAAAACTTCCATTGATCCTTTGTCACTCGTGGCGACCTAATCTCTTTGTTACAATCTTTTCCCTTAAAAATGTATTTATATTATTTATGTTGGTTAATGAGTGAATTTTAAGCTATTAAAATTAAAATTTTAAGTGTAATCATTTATCAATTGATGCATCAAAATATATAAATAAAACCAACTTTCCAGAATTTATTGTTTGGTGAATTGTTCAAAATAAATCCTTTTGGGATAGTATAATGCACTAATTGATTAAAGATGGTATAGTTTCCATTAACATACAAAATAAATGTTTTGGAATTATTAAAAATACTATTTATGGTAACATGCCCGTATTATGCCACATTCCATATCCTTTTTATCCTATTTTATTTCTGAAGAAAAAGTGTCTCAGAAACCAGTTCTCCAGAGAGAACTTGCCCCCTATGTTTCTTGCTCCCCAGAGCTACAGGAAAGACAACCATTCTGAACAAAAAAAAACAACCCCATTTCTAGTTACTTTAGGTTTATGTAAAATCTTCTAATTAAAAATTCAAACAGTTGAATTTTATGTTCTTTTGGCTCTTTATTTGAGAATAATTCTTCCTTGTTTCCATTTTGTTTGTTCTGTTTCCATTGATAAAAAATTCCTTTCCCTCAGTGGAAACCCAGGGAACCCAGGGTGGATGATCCCTTCAGGACCAGTGGTGAGAGTGGTGATACCAGGAGGGTGAAGGGAGGGTGGGTTGGGAAAGGGGAACTGATTACAAGGATCTACATATAACCTGGGGGACAGACAACAGAAAAGTGGGTGAAGGGAGACGTCGGACAGTGTAAGATATGACAAATTAATAATTTATAAATTATCAAGGGTTCATGAGGGAGGGGGATTGGGGAGAGATGGGGAAAATGAGAAGCTGATGCCAGGGGCTTAAGTGGAGAGCAAATATTTTGAGAATGATGAGGGTAATGAATGTACAAATGTGCTTTACACAATTGTGTATGGGTTGTGATAAAAGTTGTGTGACCCTAAAAAAATGATTTTAAAAAATTCCTTTCCCTCTTCTTAATTTTGCTTTTGGGTACATGTTGATCATTTAGTCTCACATATTTGGGTTAGAAGAGAGTATAACTCATAAGTGATATTGTTTGCTTTTATAAGCTAATACATTATTTGGCTGATTGGTGACCTAAACAAAAGGCTCTGAATCCAAGTTCAAATGGTGATAGAGTCAGTGATTCCTCTCGTTTTTATTGGTCCAGCAAGTCTGTCCATTTTTAGGACTTTGAGTTTGTTCTACATTTTTCTTCTATTCTATCCAGAACTCCTTTTGTGTTCCTTGTCTAAATGGTAGGTAGTGGTGGCTGGGTACCATATAGTTCTTCTGTTCTCATTTTAGAGAAGGCTTTTGTTCATGTGGATTATTAGTTCCACTAATGTAATTTTGCTTTAGTCAAATCTGCTATAGATATCAGTGGCTTAATTCTACCAAGATCCCTGAGGAGCATGAGAATGTATCCCAGAATTAGATGGCAAGAATTTATAAATATATCTTGTAGAAGAGGACTAGTGAAATAAGCTGCAATGTCTACTCTTGAAGATTGTCATGAGAATATGATAGTAGCTGTTCCCCATCTTTTTCATTTAGCTCTTATTATAGATTTCTTTCTTCTTTGGCCAGCATTTCTTATGGTTCTGGTTGCTCGTTTGATGTGATGACAGACCTTCTTTCTTAAGGGGTCATGCCCCCGGTTGCCTTGCCTTTTACAGGCATTGATTACTCTAATTGTTCATTATGACACTTTCACATGGAACTATCAAGAGATAGCATATTGCATTGCTTAAGAGTCAGATATAATCCCTTTTGCTTCTGTCATGTGGCATAAGCTTGCTTTTTATTGTAAAAAGGATAAATCATCATTACCAAGATATTAATATTCAACTGCTAGTTTAATATCAAGAGAAAGTCAAATGTTGGGTGGCATCTAGAACCTCACGTTCAATGGAACGCGATTGAATACACTCATAGAAACCTTGCCCTCTTTGGCAACAATAGCCTCCAATGCAGCAGAGCTAAAATTCTGGAGGCAGCAGGTACAGATCCTGCAAGTGGGTTACTGAGAGTGATGAAAACAGGGGTCTAATCCTACCAACTAGTTTACTTAAGCCATTGCAAATATGTTGTTGTTGTTGTTGTTAGTGCCATCAAGCCAGTTCCAACCCAGAGAGACCCCATGCACAGCAGGAAGAAACACTGCCTGGTCCTGTGCCATTCTCGCAATTGTTTCCATACCTGAGCCCATCGTTGCAACCACTGTGCCAATGTATCTCCTTGAGGGCCATCCTCTTTTTCTCTGCCCCTCTACTTTACTAAGCATGATGTTCTTCTCCAAGGACTGGTCTCTCCTGACAACATGTCCAAAGTATGTGTAACACGAAGTCTCACCATCTTTGTCTCCAAGGAGCTCACTGGTAATCCTTTTTTGTGAGACAGATCGGTTGTCCTTTTAGAAGTCCATGGTACATTCAATATTATTCTGCAGTACCAAAATTCAAATGCATGACTTTTTCTTCAGTCTTCTTTATTCAATGTCAAACTTTCACATGTGTATGAGACAATTGAAAATAATATCATGGCTTGGGTCAGGCATGCCTTAGTCCTCAAAGTAACATTCTTGGCTTTTCAGAACTCTAAAGAGGTGTTGTGCAGCAAATTTACTTAACGCAACATATCTTTTGATCTCTTGACTGCTGCTGCCATGAGCTTTGATCGTGGATCCAAGCAAGACAAAATCCCCGACAACCTCAACCCTTTGTCCATTAGTCCTGGACTAATTGGCCAAGTCCATTAGGATTTGGGTCTTCATCACATAAGTTGGCACCTACTTATATACTACTTGTAGGAAAGAGCTCTATCTTTACAAGGTGTTATACTCATCCTGATGTCTTATCCAAGCCTTTAATAAGCCATTCTAATATGTTATTGGTCTGGTTTCTTCTTGGTGTGAAGCTTATTTGTTAACATTTTTCAGTGACTAGCAGCTGGTAAGTACTAACAAATTAGAGTGTACATTATTGAAATGGAATGGGCTGAAAAATGGTCCTCTGTCTAAAAGGTAGATGAAAATGTATTAAATAGTTTGAGAGTGATGAGACAGATGGTTGAGATAGTGATCAAGACAAGCAAAAATCTACTGAGTATGATAGACTTTTGATTATATTCTTTAATTAGTTCATCTTTTAAAATTAACTAGACAAATTGAAGTTAAAATTTTGTTACCATTATATTCCCAACTTAGGAAGTCCAATTCAGCAAAAGTTACCAAATTTTTTAGATTTTATTTCAGTAACCTAAAACATGAGATTCATACTTCATATATCTTCCTGAGATATGGAAAGTCAGATATATTAAAAGCCTACTGAATTAATACCTCAAAAGTGACTATAAATATAACCAACAGTACATTTTATTATGTAATGTGTATTTTCATCCCCTTTTCCCAGTTTTGATAAGAAAGATAGATATAGTCAATGAACCTTAGGTATTCAGAGGAAAAGAAAGTAGAATTAAATATTCAGGAATACATTCACCTTTTAGCCTGGCATGAATATATTTTGGATGAAGGTCTTAGTTGTTAAACATTTTTGCTATTGTAAATAATCCCCATGCATTTGTTTGGCCATTCACTTTACTTTGCTTTTGTGCAATACAACAAAACAATGTTCTCTCTTGTTGTGGAACTCCCACAAACATTTCCTTTCAAAGTCCAGACAACTTGCATTCTTGATTCTTCCCGCAAAGAAGTCCACCTTCCTTTGTACTTTAGTCTGTAGACTAGATGCCCTCTGCAATTGAGATTTGTCAGCTGCTTTTCATTAGATTTTAGGTGATTAGAATAAAATATGTAAATAAGGCAACAGTTGGGATTACATATTTGAAGAAAGAGAAGATAATTTTAAGACATTTATGATAATACTTAAATATGTCACGCAGCACAAATACTAAAAAAAATATGACACTAAAATCGATCGCTGGAAGCTACATTTTCAGCAAAAGCAATTAAGTCCTGAGTAGTGTCTGGCCATTTACATTTAGCTTCTATCTTAAGTTTATTCTAGGTCAACAATATCCATTAAATTCCTAATTCTTATTTCGAGTACTCTCTGACCTGTCACTTAGCATCGAGCTGAAACTACAAGTTTGCTTCTTAAAGATTCTGAAAGTAAAATCATTCTTGGGAGGCACAGTGGTAAGGTCAAATTTGCAATGTTGGATTTATTTCAAGTAGAAACCCCCTCTTTAAGCCAGTAACTGCCAGCAGAGAAGAATCTGCTATGGTTTTAATTTTCAAAGACATCTATGGTCTGTGCTACAACCTGATATGTTGTTTCTACTCTGAAATACAGAGTAGATTTATTTTATACTGACTTTAGGAAATTGAATTACATATGCTAGGTTCAATTTTCAAAAGGTAATTTCATTTCTTCAATAATTCTTTGTTGTGACAATTTAGTAATCAAATGATTGAATCAGAAAGGGGAATTATATCAATATCTTATTAAAATGTGTTGACAGAACTTGGTGAGCTGTGACTTTTCATTTATGGTTTTTTTTTAAAAATCATTTTATTAGGGGCTCATACAACTCTTATCACAATCCATACACACATCAATTGTGTAAAGCGCATTTGTACATTCA